TTACCTCCCACTCTCCCAATCTTTCTCTCTCTCTTACCTCCCACTCGCCCTGCTTGCTCTCTCCCTTCCCCTCACTTGGCATATGACTAACCCTTTTCCCCTCACTTGTTACAATGCCAGGGTACGAATAGTAAAGAGAGATCAGACCTCACTTGGCGGAGAAAGAGGGCAAGGGGAGGATAGCCGGTCCCTTGTGCCACCAAGAAGGCAAAAGAAAGGACGCTTGAAAAGAGTGGGAAAGAGGCGGAAGCCGGAAGAAAGCATAAGTTGAAAGTGAGGTCAGTTTGACTCAACCATTTCCCCGACTGCATGACTATGAGAAGAGGATGGGCTGATTGAGCAAAGAAAGGGAACAAAGAACAGCCAAACAACATGGAAAAAAATAGGCATGTGGGAAGGGCTATGTGTTGACCCCCAATGGGGGATTGTATGGATCTTTGCTTTGTGTGGGATTGTGCCGGTAAGTGAAGGCTAAGGATGCCTTGAGCGGGGTAGGGCCGGAAGGAACCGGGCATCAAAAGGAAAAGGGAAGAGGGACGAAGGGGCCATGGGACCCTTAGCACAAAGCCAATCCATGGAAATGACCTTTGCGTTTGAGACTTGGAGTGTGAATGAGGGAATGGAATGCAATCTTGCCAAGGGAAATGTAAAGTTGTGTGCGCACGCATGTAAAGGCCCCGAAAAGACTAAGGGGCCTCCGTCAATGGGGTTAAATGAGATGTATGAGAATCGATGGGCGCGTAGAGGCGAGGGGAAGGACGGCTTCGCCGCGCCCTGAGGATGCCATAGAGTTGCGATGCTTAGGGAAATGGTGCGCGGCCTAAGGATGACGATTAACCTGCTCACAAGAGAAGAGAACTCTCAAAGAACTCCTTGACTGCCTGAGTATTCGAAAGTGCAATTTCTTGAGAACACAACAAAGAATCAAAAAAAAAAATCAGCGTTATGGAATGATTAGCGAGACTACCACCTGGCGTGAGGTTTGAGCTACATCCCCAATGTCAAAGCTCTCTCGCATGATAGCCCACCCTCATCCATCTCAAAGCACTAGGTGGGGGTGATCCTAGGACGAATGGCCCGCGCCCTGAGCATGAGCATGGGCGGGCCGAGCCAACTGGGACCCGTAGTGGGGTCGACTAAGGCTCGAAAGTCTATCAGGGTTTGGCCCTACAAAAATGGTGGAGGTGACGGGCAAGGGTTAAATTGACCCTTGCGATTCCGACAGGGGCGCCCGACGCATTGACGTGTACACAACCCAAGATAAGGAAAATGGACTTGTGTTTGCTCTTTCCCTTGTGAGAATCAGATTTGAGAGTGGTTGGGCGCATGACATGGCCAGGCCTGGAGGTATAACATGCGTGCTATGCACTTGATTAGCCGTTTCCTTGTGGAATGGCTCTAGCTCTCCTTCGTTCGGTGCTGGTGTTCGCCAGTCCGAGGAAGCCTTGGGCAAGTTGCAGGTCGACCCTTCCTCTTCGTATGAAAGAAGTGCTCCGGTTACCTGGCAGGCGGTTGGTGCTTCGGCTTCAGCCGGGTTCCAATGAAAATCACCGCGGCGGAGTGATCCGACCGAATGGGTGCCCTCCTTTCCTCTTCTTTGAACCCAGCGGGCTCATGCACTTTGCGCTTTTGAAATGCTTGAAGGAACCAACATGAACAAAACGGTTCATCAAGAACGAACAATCCCGCCCTATGAAAGGACAGACAAGTAAAGAGAAAGGGAATGGAGTTGCTAGACTCCAAGGGAAACTAGCTCACCTTTGAAAACTCTCACGCGAAGGAACCAACCACTATGTATGAAAATAGGGGGAGTGACACTCATTGTCCTGAGAGAAAATTGGGAGTTATGAGTAGGAAGCGTTGGGAGCACCAAGGGAAAGACACTTGTACTCTATGTATCCCACTTGGGACTTGTGTTTACATGATGGGATTTGAGCGTCCTGCCTTTCGGAAGGAAAGGATGGATCTGCACCGGCCAGTGCGAGTTGCGAAACGTCGCTCTCTTTTGAAGTTGCCGTGTGTGGAGGTCAGGCCACCGAGCCATCGGACGGGAGTTTGTCACGTCGGTTGATTAGTAGCATTCTCGTTCAAGCGGTGGCGAGCTTGGCTCGATGATCTGTCGGGCGGGGTGCGAAACGTCTCCTCAGGCGGGGCTTAGCCTGTTGGCTGGCGGGGGGAGTACCACTGCATACGGACAAAGACGGAGCCTCGGAAACGATTAGTAGCTTTTCGTAGCATGGTTTGAGAAAGGCTGATTCTTGTCGGACCGATGGAAGTGAATGCCCGGACGGCTGACTTTTGTCCCTATATTTAGGCACACGGGGTAGCCCTCGGTCTCGGTATGGATGTGCAAAAGCGGCAAGACGGGATGGGGTATTATGGGCACAAGGAAAGGGCTAACGCCTTGCCGGAGCTTGAGTACCGCGCTCGCGACGGTTGAGCTGCACTTGAGGTATGGGATAAAACTCTACCGATAGTACCAGCGGAGAGACCATATTGGGAAAATGTCGGTGAGGAGATGACCGGCCATATGTGAGATTGCCTGATTTTTTTTATGTGTTCCCCCTCTGTAAAGATTGAGTGAGCTTGGATTGTTGGACGGGCATATTTCTAAGTCCATTCCCCCTCCTGCCTAAGTCTACACGAGTGAGAGATAATCGGAAGGAAGGAGGATAGAGGTCAGTTGGAATGGAACCAAGAGAAAGAATGTGGGGAAATGGATGGCCGACCAAAGGTATTATGAGAGGGTGGTACTTAGGAATGGGGAGGTAAATTAGGGAAACCTTGATGAGGGGTCTGAAATAATTCTCATCTAGGACGAGGGAGGACCTGACCAGAATGACCGTTTGGTACTCTCTTATGAAAACAGGGGTCGGATGCTGGAAACGGGATGGCGCGGTGGTTGTCTTCCCCGATCTATACCAGCGGTCCGGAAATGCCAGTATCGGTCGTCCTCCCGAAGATGGGACGTGGACGGATCTTGAGCTAGCATATCAAACCGTAATGCTGGAAAGGGAGGACGCGTTCCTTTGGATAGAGACAATATGGGCTAATGTCAGCTTGACAAGGTTGTCGCCAAGTTTAATGGATTTAGAGTTCCGAGGGACAATGGAAGCCCGGGGGTGGGTCTACTTGTCGCAAGATGGGGAGAATGCAATAGTCATTGGGTTAACACTCGGGAATACGCCGGACGAGTTGTTTAGGAAGGCAGAAGCGGAGGTTGTGTTGGCTACGTGTCAACGAAGGGAAATGGAAATGGAAAAGGTAGATGTGTGGGTGGAACTTGGGGATAGGGGAAGCATGAGGCGACCCGTCAGAACCATGCGATGTGTGCTGCCTCCCTTCCTAGTGGATGCGGTTTTTGGAACCCGAAGCAGGCTAGTACGGATATGCCAGTCCATGACGAACCTCGGACTATACCAGTGCGCTAGGCAAGACTTCTTTCGGTTGTCGGTAGAGATGGGGCCGTTCGAGGGGAATTGGGCGGAGGAGTTGGCTCAAATGTTAAATTGCGTTAGCGTGGACAATGCTTTTGTCCCTAGCTCCGTGCATTGGGGGATAGTCTATAGAAATGTGGCAGTAGGGGAGACATTTCTGGAAGGAGTGAGGGAGTTGTTCTACAATGAAGAGGATGACTTCAGTGATGAGGACGAGGATGATGAGATAGAGGACTGGGACTTCTAGGAGAGGAGGGTGACCTAGCCTAGGGGGAACGGGTGGCCTGGTATTGTGCAGGGAGGGGAAAGATGACTAGAGAGGAAATGATGATGGAATACACCTTCAAGGGATGGGAACCAAGGCGGCTCAGAGGAGGAATAGAAATGCCCATACCGACAGAAAACGAGTGGAGGGGGACCACCCGCGACTGGGTTGGGTTTGAGGTTGCGCGGAAGTTGTCATATGTATGGATAGAGCGGATTTGGAACCCGATAAGGGAAGAGGAAGGTTGGGACGAGATAGCAGAGGGCAAAGTGGAATCGGTCGGAACGATTGTCCTTTCCGAAGACGGGTGGCGCCTATTTTGCACTATGTTAGCAATAGGACAGGATCCAACGTGGCTTCTGGGGGATGTAGAGGCGCGAACCCGAAAAGAAGGCAAGAGGTTCGCCAACGAGGGATGGGACGAAGTTAGTAGCAGAGTTGTGATGGGAGGATGGAAGGAACTCAAGCCTCCCAGCCTACGAACAACAGCTTGGACGCCTGAGTTCGTAGCCGAGTGGTTTGGGGGTTTTGAGCACATTATAGAAGTAGCAGACTCCATGAAGGAAGTGCATATAGGGTGTGCGTGGCTGACTGAGGAATTTAATAGGATCTCCTTGAAATATGGGCCCTTCTACGGAGATAAAGCCAGTGAAGTCCTCACCGCCCTAAGGATAGGTAAGTACGACCGCCTAGAGGTAGAAAAAGAAGCTTGGGACGCTATAATTAGCCGCGAGGCGGCGGCTGCCCCATCCTATGTGGATAATGTCTTTAAACTGTTTGAAGTACTGTGGTTCGATTAGAAAAGGACCAAGAAATCAAATGCCACGGCGAGGTCAGAGTATGGAGGATGCATGTAAATTAGGGTGTAACATAAGAAAGGGGCGTGTACGGTAGTTTAGCAGGGGCTGCGAAGGGGTCGAAACAAGGGGGAGGTAGCAACAACCGGAAAAGGGGAAGAAGATTTGTACGTGTATGGGGCGGGGATAGCAGCAAGAACCGGTGTATGATAGGTAGGCCGTGCTGAAAGACTAAAGCACGAAAGACACGGAATCTCGGTGGGTGCAGCAATCGGACTAAGGGAGCGGGAAATGAGACATTGCAAGATGGCCCGACGAATGACATTCTGGGAGGATAGGCCTCGCGGGATCCTACCACCAAAAGCATCAGAGGGCAGGGTCGAAATATGCCGGCAAGAAATATGGTAAGTAACCCAGTAATGGACTGGGTGGGGGTAGAGTTGGTGGAAGACACGGTGTACCTAGTAGTAGAGCTGGAATGGCGTGCGAGAGGAGAGTTCGGGGGCAGAAATTTGGACCTCCCAGGGCGCGTACATGCGACAGGATCCTTACACCTGTCGGAAGAGGGGTGGCGGACCTTTGGGATTGCCTTGGCTTCCGGGGATGACCCCGTACGAATGTTCGAAGGAGCATGGCAAATAACCTGGCGGGAGGGGTTTGAGTTCGCGGATCCGAAACGAGATGACGTGACGGGTGAGGTAAAAGTTGCCGCAGCAGGGATCTTTAGGCTGCCAAATGAGGTCGTACGAATGAGTCTACCACCCTTCCTACTAAGACGAATGGGAGGTATAGAGCGAGTAGAGCAGGCGGTAGCTGCCATAACTAGGCTAAATTTTGATGAAGCATTAATGTATCGAGAATACTATCAGGTCTTCCTAGAGATGGGACCTTTTGAAGACGAACAAGGGCACGAGGTGTTATGCATACTACGGGCAGCAGTGGAAACTAGGCCGGGGATTCCGCAGATAAGTGATGAGGCCATGTGGGGAGTCATCAGGCGGGAAGTGGGTCGGGGCGTGACCTACATAGATGACCTATACCGGTTGTACGAGCAGCCATCGGAGGTTGCTGCTCTTAGGGATATGGAGGGATAGTTGGGACCAGAGAAGAAGAATGAGAACATAAAGGGTAAGGGGGCATAGGTGGACGTTTACTGAGGATTGGCTGTAACACTTTCTATGTGGACTATGCAGGGGATCGCCGGAACAACAATGGCAGCAACACGAGTGCGAATGGAACGTCAGCCGCGGTACCCCGGACCGCCCTAGAATTACGGCGGGCGATGGGAAGTGTCCCTCCCGTCAAATTCCAACTTTCGGGGATTCGACGTGGAATGGCGGGCCGTGACTCTAGGGAGAGACAACGCCTTCATGTTGGTGGAATGTCGGTGGACAAGGATGAGACTCAACCGAGGGCCTGGGGATGACCTGTTTTCCAATTTTGAGGTAACCGGGATCCTATACCTACCCGAGGTTGGCTGGCACTTGCTGGGAATATGAATAGCGCAAGGCCACAAGTTGGCTCCCGTCTTTCAGAGAGCAGCCCGGGCGTTGACACGGATAGGACAATCAGTCAGGGGTAGGAGAAACGTGGACTTACTCACCAAGGTGGAAATGGGAGGAGGGAGGGAATTCACGGCACCAACCACACCACTAAGGTGTCGGGTCCCCCGATTTATGATAGACCTCATTTTCGGAAGCCTCGCAAGGGCACAGGCGCTGGCAGACTCAACCATAATCTGTGTAGACCACTTCCCCTTTCAGACCATCGGGTTGTTCTACGATGTTGCTGTGGAACATGGGCCGTTCTGTGGAAACAGGGCCCATGAGTTACTACAAGTTATCCATATCCTGATATTTGGGTTGCCACGGCTAGCCTGGGCGGAATACGAACACATCATCCAAAGGGAGATCGAGATAGGTGAGAATTATCTAGCAAGGGTGGCTCAACTATTCCAGGAGCTTACCGAACCGGAAGGGCCACGAGGGCGAGAGCGGGACTAGCACCCGGGGGCGAACCAGTAGGGCAAATTAAGTATAAGTCCGCTACATAAATAAGAAAGGACCTCGGGCCCGGATGATCAAAACCCGCCAGAAAACAAAGGAGGGGAGGGTAGACGCCTAATGGTTGCCATGACCTGGGAAGGCGAAAGGGGGGAATACTGCCGGGAAACTTTCCCTAATAGGATGCCTATTCGGGACTCCTACGCACCAACCGACGAAACAGGGGCACTCTAAACGAGCCTGTGATAAAGGGAACAAAATTGTGTCCCTCAGCTTGGTAGGGCGGCAGGGCCGGTCGCGGCTTCTTCCTGGGGAAGCAATCGGGGAACGAAAATGGGGAGAAGGCTATTATCCGAATAAAGATAAGCCAACGAAGCCGGAACCTATGAAACCTAAATGCCTCGCGCTGCATGTATCCTGGGGGATCCTTTGGTTTATGCAGATTTATTCAAAATTGCAACGGAAAATGAGACGGATAACCATAGAAGCGAAGGAGGACCAGGCTTAGCAGGCAGTGTCGTACAAAGCGAAGAGGGGCATAAAGACAGAGAATCGATAAATCCGGATGGTACCAAAGGGAAATGGAAGGAAATCTCCTCAGGGGAAAGCGCGGGGAAAGCCGGGGGAAGCAGGCCAGGGACTCAGGAAATCAAGGAGGGCAGAAATAAGGATAGGACAAGCCCCCAAAATTCAGAGGGAGCCGTGTCTAAGAAAGTAAGGGTCACGGATGCGACGCGCAAACTAGCAGAGATAGAAAAGAGGACCGCAGAGTACAAGGCAAGATTGATTGAGGAAATGATGACTGGGAACGAAAAAGGCCCTCTGCAGGAGAAATCGCGGGACGAACGAAAAACCAGCCGAGGCGAAACTGGGCAAGGGGATAAGGGTAGTGACCGTAGGGGAACATTGAGCAAAAGGAGGAAGAAGAGAGAAACTCCCCGGGGATGGAAGCAGAGAAAGCCACAAACCCACCAGCCATAGATAGTAGGGCTAGCCGTCTGCTGACCACGCCAGCGGTAACACGAGGGTGTGAAGGACTCTGGAGCCTTAGGGAAAGGGTGTTGGGATGGTTCGACCCGGAAGGGACTGCAAAGACTAGGGAGGGGCAGAAGGTCAGCAAGGAAGGACCAGACACCAGTATGGCGGGCGAGGCCAGTAGCTCCGAAGGCGGCCTTATCAAGATAGTATCATCCCTCGCACGAGCACTGAACAAAAATCAAGGCTACCTAGTGGACGATAAGAAAAAGTTAACGTTTGACGGGGCAAACATCACGGAATTCCTGATAGATTACGAGAATCTGGCCGCGCTGTTGAAATGGACCGAAGAAGGAAAAAATGGACCACCTGGGGCAGCATGTGTCTTTGAGCCTGGGGCGGGACATAATGGCCATCGTAGCCGCGAGTCGATCCTGGAAGGAAACCCGGGATGTGATGATGAGGAAATATCTGGCAGCGGAGAAAATGGCCACGGAGGCCAATTTAGCGGCAGTTCAGAGAAAGAACTTCTCAACGTACAATGACTTCCTACAGGAGTTTACTCTGGTAGCGCTAAGGATCCCGGGGGTAACGGACCGAATAATGAGCAAATACTTCCTTAGGCAATTCTCCGAGTTCGACAAAGACAAGATTCTGTCGACCTACCAGCAGATGAGCAAGTTCGTAAATACCAGGGATGTTGATTTTAGCACAGTAACGGATCTGGCCGAAAAGACAGTAGTGACCGAGACATTGGCCTTGCTTAAGGAAGGGGAGGTCATAGATCTGACCGGTAGAACAAGCGACAAGGTAAAGAAGGGGATTGAAAGTCTACATTAATGGGTACACGGAGTAAACAACAAGATTGAAAGGGTGGAGAACGCGCTACTCGTTATGCAGGCGCAAGTATCCCGACCCCCCCTCCCTCCCCAGGAAGCCGTGGTTCCGCTAGGTGTAGCTAATCGAGGATTCAGACGGAGAGATCCTACTAATGAGCAATGCAAGTATTGCACCGCGATGGGACATTATGTGTGCGCATGTCCAAAGCTCAACCATGATATATTAAAAAGGAGATGTACCAGGTCATTGAAGGGAGAGATATTCGGACCACAGGGAAAACGGGTAAATTGGAACTCGCCAGGGGGAATGCGGCGAGCCGTTATCATGCTCAATGGGTTAGAGATAGCGGTCACAGAAGCTGAGCCGATGGTTGATATCATATGGGATCAACTTCGGGGCCGCGGGCCGCAGGTCGACTTCATTTTCGAAAACGACGGACGTGATACGGTGAGTGCGACTACTCGACTGGGGACGACTGGGAGAAGGATTATTCGTGACACCGTGATGGAGGAGGTTGCTGGAAGTTTCGTACCCCAGGCAGAGCCTGAGGCCGGGGAACTAGAGAAAATCTATGAGAAGCCTAGGGAAGAAGAGCCGACAGACAAAGTTACCGCTGCTAAAAAGAAGTTTAGGTATCAGATCCTGATCTTAACTATGCCTGAGATCGATGACACCCATAGCAAATTACTAGGAACCATGGTATCGCTGTCGTTTCAAACCATGCTGCAGGCCAGCCCTTGATTGCTCAAAGGTCTTAGACAACTGTTGACGCGACGGCGAGTAGAGATAGACGAAAACCCCAAATCACCGGAAGGGGAAGGAGAGGAGGAAGCTCCGCAAAAAGTCGCTAACCTTCAGAGGAGTCGTGAGGATTTGGAGGATCTCGAAAAAGTGTTTGCAGACATCCGCCTGAGCTTCCCGGACCGAGAGGGTGGCGAGGTCATGAGGGCACCACCCGGGACAAAGCTTAGTTTTCATGCACTACCCGTAGGAAAGCTGAAAATCCAGATCGGGACTCATCATACCGACGCATTAGTAGACGGGGGAGCGGAAATCACTCTCATAAGGAGGGATTTCGCAACAATCACGGGTTATACGGTAAACAAGGAAGTAACAGGAAGCATCCGGGGAGCTGGTGGGGAAATCTCGTTCGCAGGGTATGTCACAAAGTGCGCAGTCAAGGCAGGAATCAGGGAGTCGATCTGGTCGTTTCAGCGAATGATCGTAATGGAGGAAATGGACCACGACATAATCGTCGGGAGACCATGGTGCGCAAAAGTGGAAATGATAGGTATGCACTTGCACGACGACTCGTACATGGTAGACATAGAGGACCCAGTGACCGGCCGGGGTGAGCTCCTCCGACTCCTCGGGACGGGAGGAGAACCTCCGAAGGGGAAGTTGGCAACGTGGTCGCCATCGTTCGAAGATAGCACACGAAAAGGGGCTTTCGCGCGGATGGAAGGTATGAGAGAAAGGGTAAAAATTATGATTGAGGAGGCATTCAACAAAAAGGAATGGATCAAGATGGGCCTGCCCCAGAATAAGAGGAGGCAGGAGGACGAAGTCTTAGGTGTTATGGTAGCAGAAAAGGAGTCAGAAGTCGAACTCGGTGTTAGTCTGCCCAAACGGAAAGAACTACGCATGGACGTGGCATAAGTCGCACTCAAGGTCCCCGATTTGCTACAGCTTTTCAAGGCCCTCAGATACCACAAGGTAGGAGTGGACTCGGCAGTCTTGGCCAAATTCGAAGGAGAGGTGCAAAAGGGATATTGTCTGAATGGGAAATTAGTTAGTATTCAGTCACGAGTCGTAGAGGCGACGAGGGCAATCCCGACCATTCATTTTTTAGGAGAAAGATCCCGGTAGGAAGTGTTCGAAAGTACAAGCCGGTAGGGAAGAAAGCAAAAACGGTCTCGATCCTGCTAGAGACATCAAAGGAGGCTATGGAGAAGGAGGAGGAAGTCCTTCGAATGATCCAAGAGAGAAAAGCCTTAAAGGGCATCGGATACCAAATGAGGTAGCTGACACAATGAAGATAGGGATAGACGGATTCTTAACGGAAGAAGACCCGGCCTGATCAAAAGAACCTGCCAGGAGTTTCACCTGGCATTTGCCTTTAGTGATCACCAAAGAGGGTGGCTGGATGCGAAGCTGATTCCTCCGGTCAGAATCCACACGGTAGAGCATGAGTGCTGGAATGACAAGAGTCCGACCTATGAATTTGGGATAGCAGGGAAAGTGACGGACCTTCTTCAAGCAAAGATGGACTCCTTCGTCGCAGAACCTACGGCGTCGCCATACGCAAACCGGTGGTTCATCTTTCGAAAGCCCAACAAGACGGTAAGGTGGACTCAGGATCTGCAGAAATTAAATTCGGTAACCATCCGGGATGCTGGCTCGCTGCCTCAGGCCGATTTATTAGCAGAATCGCACGCCGGCCGGAGCATTTACTCCCTGGTAGATCTGTACTCGGGATAAGACCAGCTTCCATTGGATGTTCGGGACAGGCCGTACACCGCAATGCACACCCCCGTAGGCCAGTTGCAGATGCAGGTGACCCCTATGGGCTTCACAAACGCGGTAGCCAAAGCGCAGCGAAGAATGCTCGTCGTAGCCAGGGACATGTTCCCAAAGAAGTGTGAGCCCTACATCTATGACAATCCGATCAAAGGCGCGCAAGAGAAGGACGAGACGGAAGTCCAGCCAGGAATCCGAAGATTTGTGTGGGACCATCAACAGGACATCAAGGACTTACTCCGTCGGTTTCTCGTATACAACATCACGGTTAGCGGACCAAAGAGTATCCTAGCAGTACCGGAAGTAGCCATACTAGGATTTTGCTGTGGCGCATACGGCAGGAAGCCAGATCCAGCAAAGACGGACAAGATATCACAGTGGCCAACGCCCCTGCACACGAGGACGGAGGTAAGAACATTCCTCGGCGTGGTCGACTTTTGGAGGATCTTCATTAAGAATTTTGCCAAGATTGCTAAGACTATCCGGGCTATGATTAGAGAAGAAGGGACAATGGATTGGACGGAGGAGCGAGAAGGAGCAGTCCATACCCTCAAGGACATACTGACGTTTGAGCAAGTCGCTTTGTCCGCACTCTGTTTTAATGACAAAGTGGGACGACCCTTTGTCCTAGAAACGGATGGAGGACCCTTGGCCGTAGGAGGCGTGCTGATTCAAAGGGACGAGGAAGGGAAAGAGAGGCCAATTAGGTTCGAAAGTAGAATAACTCTGTAGAACGGCGATACTCACAGTTCAAGAAGGAGGTCCTAGCCATCTTGCATTGCCTCAAAACCTTCCAGGCCTACCTATTTGGGAGGCGGTTCATCCTTAGGATCGATCCGACAAATGTTGCAGGGGCCTTAAAGAATTACAGACCTATAGATCCGACGGTGGGGAGATGGGTAGGATTTATCTGGCAGTTCGATTATAAGATCGAACGGATTGCGGGAATTAGAAACAAGGCCGGTGGGCTGAGTCGGGTCTGCATCACTCCCGAAGGGCTGGAAGATGCGGAGCCCATAGACGCGTTCCTTGAATACGAAGGCGGAACTCTTGCGGTGGATAACGAAATGATGGACGGAGAATGCGTGTCGGGAGAACTATTGATCCGGACTTTGGAGAAAGGAGCACCTGCCGTAGTAGCAGAACTTAGAGAAGGACCAGTCACCACTCGAGGTCGTAAAAAGGAGAAAGATTCATGGGGAGCGATAGTAGGACCGAAGGAGGATATAATAGCTATGGTGGTTGAGGGAGGCCGGGAAGCCGTGATGAGCTTAGTGGAATCTTAGGAAAGGAAAAAGTTGCGATGGATGGTAAACCTGATGCAGGAAAGAAAGGATGAGGACCTGGAAGGGAAAGAGTTTTTCTATGCCCGGGCATACGAAGGGATCTTTCGAGAGATCGGGTTGTTGCTGGTAGGAAACAAACAGCCCGTGGAAGTCGGCATTAAAGCAAGGGAGGAGGCCGAAAGGTACGTCCTCAGGGGCGGTCGTCTATTCCGAAAAGAGGAAGGTGCTATGCCTAGAAGAGTTGTGTGCGGAAGATCTAGGCAGTTGGACGTTATCCAAACAATGCACGACGGAGTAGCAGGAGGGCATCGATCGTCCAAAGGAACCATTACAAAAATAACGCCACTTTATTATTGGCCAGGCATGGCAGGCATGGTCGCCACGTACTGCCAGACTTGCCTTATCTGCCAAGAACGAAGCTCGGCACGTATCTTCGAACCGCTTAGACCAACGCGGGTGCTAGGGC